GATGAGTCAGCGTACAGAGGAGGTGTAACGGCTAACGGACTGGTGCAAAGTCAACAACCCGACTCCGAATGTTGACAAAACCAAAGAGATGGTCATTGACTTTAGGAAAACATGGACCACTTCACACTGATGGCTCCTTCGTGGAGATCGTCAAGAGCACCAAATTCCTTGGTGTTCACCTGGCGGAGGATCTCACCTGGACCCTTAACTCCAGCGCCATCACCAAGAAAGCTCAACAGCGTCTCTACTTTCTGAGGAGACTGAAGAAAGCTCATCTGCCACCCCCCATCCTCACCACCTTCTACAGAGGAACCATCAAGAGCATCCTGAGCAGCTGCATCACTGTCTGGTTCAGGAATTGCACTGCATCGAACCGCAAGACTCTCCAGCAAATAGTGAAGACAGCCAAAAAGATCATCAGGGTCTCTCTTCCGTCTCTCATGGACATTTTCAACAACCGCTGCATTCAGAAAGCTCTTCGCACTGTGGAGGACCTGTTTCACCCACCACATGGACTTTTTACTCTCCTGCTACCTGGGAGAAGGTACTGCAGCATTCGGACCAACACAACCAGACTGTAACAGCTTCATCCCACAAGCCATCAGACTCCTCAACTCTGGACTCTGACACACACATGATGAACTCTGACACACACATGATGAACTCTGACACACACATGATGAACTCTGACACACACATGATGAACTCTGACACACACATGATGAACTCTGACACACACATGATGAACTCTGACCAAGATGGACTCTTGACACAAACACACACAAAATAGACTCTAGCACACACATTCATGATGGACTCCAAGACGCACACATACGCACGGGATGGACCCCATCGCACAAACACAGGATGGATTCTGACACACACGCGCGCGCGCATGCACACACACACCTACTGCATTGTACCATTTGTGACTTTTTTATTTCACTTGCACGTTTTTGCAATCTGCTCAAGTTTTTCATTCTTTGCACCCACCTCTCTGGATAGCTCCACTTCTGTATTACCCAACTGTAGTACTTGCATATTTGCACATTTATTGCAACTTGCACAAGTTTTTGCATCTTACTCAGTTTATAGCTCTGCTGCTATAAAAATAGAAAAACTTTACGCTGTTAACCTCATATCAGAACATGTTTCTACCTCATGCACCACCTACACATGTACTAATCAACATGTGCCTCTAGTCTTGTATCTTAATTACTTGTTTAGATTGTAATATTTAAAATTAGATTAATAATAAATAAATAAAGTGCTATGTGTTGTCATTGTTTGTTCCCAAAGACGAAATTGGCTCTCTGCATTTAACCCATCACACTGGGATACACCCAGGTGGAGAAGTGGGCAGCTATGTAAGCGCCCGGGAGCAATTTGGGATCAGATTTCTTTTTGTGTTTATTATAGGTCTGTGTGTATTTATTGTTCTGTGTATCTGCGCTGTGTTGTATTGTTTTGTACTTTGTGTTCTGTGTTGCACAGTGATGCTGCAGGAACGCCGTTTCATTTCAATATGTACTTGTACGTAGCTGAAATGACAATAAAACCTCTCCGACTCTGATTTAGCCTTTAGTTAGCATTTATTACTTTTAGCGTTTGGCTAGACGTTAGCAACTTCTAGCTTTGAGCTAGCCTTACGCTACTTTTAGCTAGTGTTTTGCTACTTTTAGAGTATTTTCCTGTTGGGTTTTGACTAGTACTTTAATATTTCAACCTAACATTTTTGCTACTTTTTAGTTTTAGTTAGCCTGTGCTGTTTTTTAAAGCTATACTTTAGTTACTTTTAGTTTTAAGCTAGTGTTTTGCGATGTTTAGATAGCCACTTTCTAATTTAGCTAACCACATTGAACTGCTAGTTATTAGTTACTTTTTACTTTTAGCTAGTGATTGGCAACATCTAGTTAGTGTTTTGTTATTGTTAGCATTTAGCTAGCATTTTGGTATTTTTACTTTTTAGCTAGTATTTTGCTACTTTTAGCTTTAAGTTGTTAATGATTTGTAGTGTAAAGCACTTTGAGTTTCTTGATAAGATAGAAAAGCGCTATACAAATACAGTCCATTTACCATTTAGCTACTTTTAGCTTTAAAATAATGTTTTGCTACTTTTAGCTTTAAGATGGTGTTATGCTACTTTTAGTTGGCATCTTGATACCATTAGCTAACTAATTACCTTCACCTTTTGTCTAGCGTTGGCTATGTTTGGTTCATTGACCTTCTTTGTGCTTATCAACAGCAAAGGGTGAAAATGTTTTTGCCCATTTCTGTGTGTGCATTTGTTTATATATTTTGCAAAATATCTCATGAACCCCTGGATGAATTTGACTGAATCTTCCAGGAAGTAATTGTTGGATGTACAACTGATCAACTTAACTTGCACGCCATTTACAATGGCCGCCACAGCTGAACAACCTTAGCAGTTCCCAAAACGTGTCCAACTCAGCCACTTTAGATATTTCACAAAACTCTGGCGATGTGCCATCCTTTTGAGGAATTCTAGGCCGTAACTTTAATGTTTTCACTCATAAAGCTGCCACGTCAGCAGTTTTTTCATCTACGCATCAAAACCAAACACTGCAGGAGATCATCTGTCCTCTGTCCAAACGTTATCTTTATCCTTATAAACCCCTGCACACCCAACATGTGGTATAAGAATTTTAAGTAGAGCGATGACGGGATAAAAATGTGTCCTTGTGTTTTTTTAAGTCAAGGTAAGAGGGCTGAGCTTCGAGGAGGGTGTGTGATCAGACACGGGCCGTCATTGGTGGAGTGACAAGTTTCCATCTCTGGGAGGTCATAAGCAAGTCCTGGCACAACACGATGTACCGACCCGCAGCACAAACACAAAATGCTTGCCAGGAAACAGAGGAGGGTGAGATAAAACAGTCCGATGGGGTCGGGACCACGTGGCACACACGACTGATGGGAGTGTGAATAAACACGTGTTCCAGTCACAACACACAGCTGAGGAGAAAGTATGCCCCAAAACACACACACACACAAACGGTGTCCTTAACTGAGACAAATACACACCTCAAACATGCCCAGGGTGTCGGCTATCAAAACCTTCCTGCTCATTTGTTCCACCTACTTATCAGTGCTTTCCCAGAATCTGACTCACTCAACCAGAAAAAAAAAAGTTGGCCCAAGTCGTTTTATTTTGGTTCAGCTGTTGCAAACGAGTGGCAAACAAAAGTTTGTGTCTTTTAAGAACTGCCATATTTCTGAATGTATTTGTTCACCTTGAACAACTTGTCTCCTACTTTTTAAAATATATTTGAACAAAACAACATTCATAACTTTAAGAATGCATATCGCCCGCTGCCTTTCAGTCCAAGGTTGAGAAATTATGACGTTGCATCCGTTTTAATCGAACCTTGAAGATGACGTCATGTACGAGTTGTATAATTGTGGTGCTGAGGAAGACTCTCAGCTACTGCCGCATCAAATTTTACCTCAGCATCTGTAAAACTGACCGAGTTATAATTAGATTTGTGTTGGCTGGGGTTGTTTGGCTGTTGCAGCAAAAACGTTAAAATGAGCACAAAGCCTGTTAAAACGTTGAACATCTCAACGAGACAAAAGAGAAATGCCAAATCATTTGAATCGTTTAAAAGCTGCAATTCTTTTAAAAGGGATAATTTAATCATCCAAGAATAAAGCAAGTCTTTAATAAGAACTATATGTAAATAAATGTACACGTGCTTTTTTGTTGTTGCCGTTTTGTTTGCACTGAAGTCAGACGGCCGGGTCGACCTTTTCCATCTACTGTTTGAAAACTTGCGCAACTTTTGGCAGAGGGTTTATCCGCCGAGTCTGAAAGTCACCCCGTCAGCCAGTGTTTAGGTCCAGACCAACATTCAGAGCTCCACTTTTAGCTATTTCACTGTGGACTCGTTCGGTACAGCATCATCGCGCTCCCGCCGTCATGTTTCATATTTAGGTTCGTGCATTCACCGCTACACCTCTGATAAGATTCATGCACAACATGCTGGAATCCACCTGAACTGAAAATGTTCATTTTCTTCTCCCGACCAAAAAACACATTTAGGGCACCGTTTTTGAGTGAAACCGTAGCATTTTAGACACTTGTGTACATGACAACAGCGCTAATTTTCTCTGACGCCAAAGCTTTTTAGATACAGCGGAGGTTTTTGGAACCCCCCAGCACTGGTACGTGCAGTACGGACTGCTGCTGTCAAGAGTTTTTCTGCGCTTGCACCACTAGATGAACAACAGTAACAACTGAGAGAGCAGAGTGAGGTTTGTGCTGCTCACTGAGCAAACCAACTTCATCGTCGGTCCAAACAAACGCTCATGTATTCACCATTTTAGATGCAACTGTTTAAGCTAAATACTGTTGTGTCTAGATGCATGCACGCGTCGTTAAAATACAAAACACAGCACAAGCTCGTGGCCTGGCGTGGAAACTACAGCAGATTCGACGTACACGAGACTTCTGCACAATCAACACTGGAAAAACCCCAAACATTTTCGGTGATCGTTCATCTTTGAACAGTGCCGAAGACAGAAAATACTCCAACTCTAATTAGTACGCTGGATATACTAGGCCATGAAATGCTTATTAATGCATTCATTACCCCTTGTTTGGACCATTGTAACAATCTGTATGTTGAGTTAGGTCAATGGTGTCCAATCCTGATTTTTCTCAGCTTTGACAAACCCGATTTAAACGAACGAGTAATTAAAACATGCAGGATCGTAGCCCTTGGGAACCAAGATTCAGCCCCTTTGGGTTAGATAAATCCTCTCTTCTTACTCGTCTTGCCCCATCGTATTCATGTGATCTCCTCAACATCAGCACTCCAGTGAGAGAACTAACAAGTTTCTCTTGGATGTTCCCAGATCAGGAAACACCGGACGGATTTTAAGGAAACTCTCTGCATCTACAGCTGATGAACTCTTAGAGCCAACACGATTCAAGATGGCTGCTGCTGCTGTTGTCGTTTATGTTTGATTGTGTATCTCACCGTGATGGAGGTGAAGGTCAGGCAGATTCCTCCAATGCCGTTCAGGGAGACGGCTAAGAAGATGAGTGCCGACAGAGCTGCAGAGAGGAGGAGCAACATTCTGCATAAATATTCTGCAGGTTTTTAATCTTAATCTTGTCCAACAGGGAGCACAGATCAGAAAAAAAATACAAATTTGCCACTTTAAGCCTCCTTTTTGAAACACTTCTTTAGTTATGTGTGGTTTAAACTGTATCATTGTATTCTTTTTTCCTCACATATTTAAGCTTTGTAACTGAAAACCCAGGCATTTTTGGGGTTTTTTTTTTTTTTTACAAAAAGGTCAAAAAGCAAACAAATACTCTGTTCATAGCAAAGAATGCTGCTCTCCCAGACCAAAAAAACTTGCACGTCCTGGGGCAAATTATCTTGAAAATGCACAATTTCCATGTCGATATGAAAAAATATCTAAATGTTGTGTCCTAACACGGCTGTAATCTCCTGTGTGATGGGGGTTGTTCGGTCGGTTTGTACTCACAGCCAGGGTTGTAGGCGGACAAGGCCATAATGATGCACGACGCGCCAAAACAAGAACTGCAGGAAAAGAAGAAGAAACGTGGAAAGAGTTAAATCAGGAAACTAGTGCAGAAACTCTCAAGAGGATGTGGTGACAAATACTACGATGAGTCAACATTCAACCACGTGTATGAGTCACACAGTCATTAAAACACTTTTAGTAAAAGCGTTTCACATGAGGTTGATTAAGGCCCAATGTTGGTAAACACTCCGACTTGGATTATCTGCTTTATTGTTTTATTAGCACTGTATATGTTTTAACTGCAACACTTTGCAAGTCATAAAGATATGCACAGCCCAGTTTTACCCTGATAAACAATGCAGGACTCACCTGCTTTTGAATGAACCCAAGCAGAAAGAAAGTCTCCTACAACGCCCATCAGCAGACTAACGCTGAAGCTGTGTACAAGAAGAGGACGACCAGCCTCTGTTTTCTGAGAAAACCCTGATTCTTCAATGTGGTGGCAGTGTCGTCTTCTATGCTGTGGTCTACTGAAGGAGCTGGATCAGAGCCAGAGATGCTAGCAGAGTTTAATAAAAACTCATTAATTAAGCTGGAAGTTACTGGTCAGAGACTGAAGTCATTTGAGTCACTGTGAAATTAATAACTTGTCTTTTTGGGAAGGCGTCCATCGCATGTCGCGCCTTTAATCGGTCGTATTCGCCCACTCTTCTTTCCAAAGGTGTTCAAAACCCGTCGGATTTCGAGGTCATCTTTTGTTCAGGTCAGATGCCATTTGAACAGGAGTGTGTAGACTTTTCATACCTGCTATACTTCACTAACTAATCAACAGAGGATTAAGGAGCTTTTAATACTTTTCTGCTGTTCCTGAAGCAAAATATAAATAGTCATCTCCTCAGTACTGACTTAGTCACAATGTTATGGTTTGAAGCGAGCTAACCGTGCCTACGCCTTCATTCCTCTGTGCTAATTCAAGAATGTGGCCCTTCCATGTAATTGTTATATTTGTGTTGTTGCAGCACAAAGGTGGAGCAGCAGGGTGTTGTCATGACAGTAGCATCAAGTGACGAGTTTACATAAACATCAACGTCCAACGAGAGCGGCGGTCTTTATTCCCAACTGTACCTGCCGACCAGGCGGATGGGACGCGGGCTGAACTTGTCCATCAGAATGCCGAGCGGCAGCGTAACTGCGCTCAGCAGGAAGGAGCCGATGGTGAAGGCCAGATTCAGCATCTCGTCCTGGGCCACGCAGCTGCTCCAATCACTTGGGTGGCCATCGGACGAGGCGTTCAGGTGCACAAACACAGAGTTGTTCTCTGAGGGGATCAAGTGTGCATATTTGATAAGAGGGCTGCTAAAACCGTAAAACCTGTTGATTTAGGCTTTGCTGAATTCAGTAAGACAATGCCAAAAGTCCCGGGCTCTTAAACTCAATACTTGTTAAAAAAAAAAAAAAAAATTTTAAAGCACAAATCAAAGTCCACTAATTTTGGTTTTTACCTGAGCACAGGTTAGAGTAGAAGTGCTCCCTCTTCAGCATGATGAGGAGGGAGGCCCAGCCCAGCAGCACGGCAGAACACAGCAGGTTCTCTATCACCGCCGTCACCGCCATCCACCAGCGCCGCCTGTAAGCCACGATGAGAGAGGGCGCCATGGCTGCTGCTCCACAGCGGAAAGAAGAAAAAAAGAGTTGATGCTTATTTATAAAACTTTTAGCACGTGAAAACATACTTCATGCCTGTAGTGACAAAATGTATGACAGCTGGTGTTTAGAACCACTGAGCAGAAAGTGTGGAGTCAAGCCGTGTTTTTTTTTTAAGGTTTGGGAACTTACACAGTTTTCTCCTTTTAAACTTTATTGTAACAAACTCTGATTTGCATATATACATGCATTACTGAACCTTCAACATTTTAAATTTCAGGTTTATTCCTATAAATTCCTGCAAATTCCCACGCAAAGTTTCCAACTCCGAAAATCCCCTGAAATTTGTCGCCCTAATTAAGAAGCTGAACGGTCTGAAAGAACATATTCTCCATCACCGAGTTGTAAAAATGTGTAAAAAAATTTAAAACCATATCTTGATTGACTTGTAGATTTGGCGAGGTCTTTTTTTTTTTTTATTACTATTAATTAATACAATTTGCACCAAGAACAACCAAAGAATCTGTAAATAAGATCTAAACTGTCTTGAAGGATTGTAATTTGACAGATGTCTTTTTATGGCAAATTTTTAAACAAAATCTCATTTTATTGATGAATAACATTGTTGCGGTCATTTTGGTGTAATTTAATCCAACAACACAAGATTTTGTGTGATCCATTAGCTCTTGGTGTTGGGGATGGGGATGGCTCCCGGCTACTACCACAACTGATTTTAGCTTATCTGTAAAACTGACCGAGTTGTGGCTTTTTTGTTTTGTTTACTAAGGCGGATTAGCAATGACAGCCATCTTGAAGATAATCTCTCAATCTCACTGCCTTTGTTCTGGAGGTCAAAGGTCCTAACATCTGATGTTTCCATCTCTAAGCAGCAAAGATTTCCACAGGATGAGTCCTAGGAACTAAAAACCCGAGCCTGGTTCAGCTTGATCTCAAGGTAGATTAAATCAAGTCAGGAGCGATGTGAGCTTTATGTTACAGAAAAGAGATAAAACCAAACAAATTCTGCTCAGTCGTGAGAGACCACCTGTACAACACACAGAGACACGTGGGACAGGTCACTGCGACATGGAGCAACAAAGTCGAGATAAATCCAACGAGACGCATCTGGATCCAAAAATAACTCTGAACCAAAAGGAAAGGGCAGAGTACAGAAGAGGCAGGGGGGCCTGAAGTCAAGGCCTCCAACAGGAAACACCCCCTCACTAATGAGGGCATCTTTTGTGTCGTCCTGTAGGAAGCGAGCGTCTGATTCGCCTCAGCATGTGCCTGCAGGCGTGTGTGTAATACGATTACTCACAGCCCAGCGAGCTGCCTCGGCGGTGAAAAGAGAATTTGAAAGGGAGGATTTCCCTGTAACCAACACCCCACGGTAAAAACCTGTCGTGTTTGGACACACGCAGAGCGCCCGTTCATAGAGTTGTGTAAATCCACAAACGGACCAGTTACTAAAGTCAGACAGTAAGAAAAGACTTGCTCTGAATGATAGTAGAGCGAAGCTCACTGCATCAAACTGGGTCTACAACGTCGGGAGGCCGAGTGTTTACTGAAGAATCAGATGCTTGTTTGTTCTTGTGCTTTGCTCTCTCACGAAAATTTAAAGCAAATCAGACAAAAAAAAACCTCTTGATTTGAGTAAAAACGTTCAAAACCATTGACAATTTATAACAAAGCTTCTGTTTGTGCTTTGCTTTTTATTAGCTACTGTTGGACTCAACCAAGTTCAAGATGGCCGCCACAGCTAGTCGACCTCAGCCAACATAAATTGAGCGACAACCCGGTCAGTTTGGTGTGACGGTAGCCGAGAGTCAGGACACACTGAGCACCAACACAGCTGGAACAGATCAATATTTTCTACATTTTCTCATCGCAGGGTTTTTATTTTCAAAAAGCCTCCATGATCTTCATTTACATGACTTTCATGTGATTATAGAAACTAAAGAACGTTCACACTTTCACTGGAAAAATGACCAAAACCCAAATTTTGCAAGAAGGTGGGATGTTTACCTTTTTAAAACAATCAATATCAATGTTGGTTTGTTAAAAAGAGGCTAGAACTGACTTCCATTTTGTATCTTACACCCATACCTAATAATGCTCACATTGGTGTTATGGGTAAGGCAGCCCTCGTGGATTTAATCATGTCATTTTGTTACCACCGACATCAATGCCTGCCCTTAAATGCATCATAACAGATTTGTTGCTGTGGTATGTTCCTAATCATAAACTGTGCTGCTTGTGTTAAGGTTAAATGGAAAAAGGCGATGTGCCAGAGTGTTGGGACTAGTATGTGGTGGGTACAACACAGTATCAGGAGACATGGTGGACGCTGCAAACAGAAGTCATGGGTTCAAGGTATCACAAAAACTGGGCTGTTGGTATCGAGTGTCTCTCTTTGTGTGCGTCCCAGCTCAGATTAAATAACAGACTGAACCTAGACACACAACAAGACACACGAGTTAAACAAAACCACTCGGTCTGCAGCTCTGCTCCTAATCACAGTTGTTTTTTTGGGGTTTGATAATGATCAACTGCACGACGGTGAAGACCGTAAGGGGTCGGCACAACAAATAGCTGCTGAAGGATAGAACATGAAAGCAAGGCATGTTTAATGTTGGCAGCCAGTTGTGAATAGTTTTCACAACACTGTGAAGTGTGTGTATAGACTAGCAGGAAGCCGACCATATTAGGAAATTGCTTCCTGAAATACCTGAGCTCCAGCTGAATGATGCAATAGTGAGTCATGGAGAGTTGTGGCATTTAAAGTAGCTTGATGGGTTTACAGCTGGGACAAGGAGAAAACATAATTTCTACTGAATGAGAATGTGACATTGAATGTTTAATTTGGCCCATATCTCCTGTTTTCTTTTCCTGCTCTTCCCCCACACCCAGCTGGAAGTATTGCTGACCTTGACCAGTTGTGTTTGTCTTTCTCTGCAGGACATAAAGAACCGCACGACAAACTATTTATCCTGACAAGTTTTCCTAGAAAATAAACCCCATGTTCCAAAAGCCTCTGTTCCCCGTGGATACCAAAAGGCACCACCTTCTGATGCTGCCCAGCCGGCAGGCAGCTGTCTCTCCACCGCCATGACCTCAGCCAGGGTCTGGTTACCAGCCCGTTTAGGAGCAGCGATGCTGCGTTTAATTGTTGTCCCACAAAATCAAAAATTATCAGCATAAAACACACACACACATATATGCTGTATATTAGAAAGTCATTCAGTCTTCTAACTTTCTGTGAAATATCCAGACCACAATTTTTTTCATTAGTTTTCCAGTCAACTAAAAATGAAAATATAATGGCTAAATTCTACTATGCTAGATAGGCTAAGAGCTTATTAGCCAGCAGGCTAGGTTAGGACTGATCATTCAAGTTAATGTTAATAAAAATATAACAATAAAGTGAAGGAGCGCTCCAATTGTCTGCGGTATATTTACAGGTTAAAATAGTCTAACAATAACGGTTTTTAGTCAACTATGAATTTAAAATGACTAGATGATAGCATGCTAGGTAAGCTAAAACCAGATCACTTGCTATTGCAAGGGTTGGACTTTTGTTGAATTTTTGTTTAATTTGGTAAAAAATAAAAAGTGATTAATACTTAAGATTTCTGTGACATGTCTACAGGCTGAGATTGATCATACTTTTAATCAATAACTTGTGAAAATTAAAATGGCTAAAAAATAAACTTACTAGGTAGGCTAACAGAAGCTTTAATAGTTAGAAATGGCCTTTTAAAAAGGTAACGGTAGTTAGATTAAACAAAAAAAAAATGGAATGCTGCTTCCATGTTTGTGATACATTTATAGGCTGAACTTTTTAAACAATAATTTTATTTTTTAATTAACTGCTTTTAAAATTAGGTATGTTTCATGCTAAGTAGGCTACACAGATGAGCTACTAAGCTAGTCAACAGTTACCGGTAGTCTTGACCTGTTGACTTTTAGTCAATGCTAGTTTAGGAGGTTCAGTAAAGTGTTGCAACTTTTAGTTATTTCACACAAAAGGGACTACAATAAAATTAACACATCTATACAGAGACAGGGTTGATCAAAGCCAACAATAGTTCATCTTTTTAATAGCGAACTGTTAATTTCAGTTTGACAGGGATGTGCAGGTTTGCATCGTTTGATTGCATCAAAAAAATCAATCAATTCAAATAGGTCAGCTGTTTAAAATGTCCCAAATCTAATATAATAATATTTACACAATATATATATTTATGCATGTACAGTAGTTGCTTACAGAGAACTAGCAACACCAACAACATATAACAACATATACTGTTAACTACCTTTCGCCCCGATTTTAAACCATGTTCAGGTCCATTTTAAACATAAACTAAAAAATATATTAAGAATGAGATACCTATGTGTTCTTTGCTCTTAATATCATCATCTTTGTGTGAGCAGAAGTCCATTTCAGCTTTCTTTTGTAGTCAGGCCTCTCAATGGACTACTCGAGGTGCGTTATCTTCAAATGGGGAAAAACTAACTTTACGAGACGCCAGTGAAGGCAACACATGGCTTTACGTTAAGAGGGAAAAAACGCCATTTATAGGAAAAGTAATAAAAATTCAAAGCTGGTTTGACTTAATCAGTATGTTTATTTTAGATAGTCAATGTTTACACACGATAATAAGATAGCTAAGATAGCTCTTCCCCAAAACAAAGCTCTGTTTACGTACTACAATGGTAAAGAACGTGGAAATACTACACAAAGCCCCAGGCTTAAGTTACCGAAGTGGTTCTTTAAAGTTTCCCCTTCACATTTTGTTCTTTATAAATATACACATATATATATATATCATCCTTATATGAACGTTTTGACTTGACCACTCCCTCCTTTTCGCGGGTTTGTTAAGAGCCTTTTAATTCATAGTTGTGACCGTCTGTTTTAGTTTTATGCCACGTGTCTTAGCCCGGTCCGTGAAAGCAGCGTGTTGCAGGTAAAACTACACTTTCAACATATATGAAAAACAAAATGTGCAATTAGAGAAGAAGAAAAAAAAATGAATTCACTTACTTTAGTTGACTTTTCTCTGAAGGGAAACTACTTAAATAAAACTCTTGGGTGTTTTAAATGTTAATTAAAACTCATCAAGTTTCACAACTTTTTTTGTTTCTAAGTAACCTCTCGGGTCCAGAAGTGATCGATTGATTCTAAGTTCTTGTTTCTGGCTGAGGGTCGTGTTGAGCTTGTGTCCGCCTCTTCCTAGCCCTCTGTGGCATTTACCTCCTGCTCTTCCTTTTTTGACTTCAGTTCCCTTCAGTTGAACAAATGGGAGGAGAAAAGTCAGAGTCTCCTCAACATTCACACCCACATGGCTGGTAAGACTTAATGTTCTGATCTGAAGCTGTTTCTCTAAACTTACAATCATTAAGAACCTCCACTTGCGACCAATATGTTTAAGTATTTAACGATTTAGAATTTGTTTTAATAAAATAATTAACATACGCTTTTATATATTTTTTTAATGGGGAGATGTGCCTTAAAAAGACTGTGTTTTAGCACTTACATTTCCTTATATGCTTTAGATTTGATTCCCAAACATAACCAAGTAGTTTAGTGCCTAAACCTAACAAAAAAGAGTGGCTGATGTATTGAAAGCAGGGGCGTCCAAAGCATTTGCAATATGGGGGGGGGGGGGGGGGGGCACACTGGTCTGGGTGCCCTCCTCCAGAAAAATTTTAATAAAATAGATGCCATTTCCTGCATTCTGGTGTATTTTAATGGGTTGTGAAACATCTTTGTTTATCTATATATGTAAACACTTGATCCAATAACTATTTTAGAAACAAATTCCTCGTTCAACTAGTTCATATATGCTTCATCCTGTTTTAAAACTCACTCCTATGGCTAAGATAATGAAATTAATGTGACACAGTTTATCACAAACAATGACTTTAGAGGTGCACTTCACTTTTATATATATATTTAATTTAGTTTGATTTGTAACCCAACATGCCATTGTGTAAGCAATGGTGACATTGAACTGCTTGTTTAAAAATAAGAATATTAACTTTACCCAATGAACTGGTGTCATTTTGATAACCACCAACAATGAATGTTTTTTTTTTGTTTGTTTGTTTGTTTTTTATATATACTGTTTTCTGATTTAGTTTTCTGCTTAGGCCTACTCATAACAAAAAATGGCATGACATCGTGCAGCCTTCACAACACAAAATTACACTGTGCCAAGGAATAGTACCACCATCAAAATAAATGATTTTTGTGAGTTTTGTCAGCCTGCATGTAATTATTAATTATTAAAACAAAATAGGTTTACAGGTTCCTTCCTACCTTGGTGCCACCACAATTTCTACCATAACTTTTATTCCTCTTTCCTTCACAATCCACTTGGAATAACATCATCTCCCTTCTTCCATTGTTTTCCTTTCCACTATTTCTTCCCCATACACTGATTTTCCCAATTTTACTTTCCAGAAAACTTGTGCTACTTGGATTATTTCTCCCAAACACCAGATGTCTCCTTCAAGGTATTCTCTAACAAGTTCTTCCTGCTCAGATTAGACAAAACTTCCAAAAATGTGCCGCATTCTGTCATTTACAGACACAAAAGACTGGCAAATCTCCCTCATCCACCTGATCAAGTCTATCTTGGTGTATGTGGCAGACAGCTACATTGTTCAAACGTTGCTGTTTCATGGAGGAGCGAAGCCATGTCAAGCTTTCTTGAAGCACTAAAACTTCTTTCAGCTGCAGCTGAAGAGCACAGTACAACAAGAAATAGCCTGACCAACACATCTACTTGTGTGAATAGAGCACATACCTCTGGCAGCAGAGCTGAGTCTCTGCTACTTCAGTAACTGTGTTGTTTCTTTGTAAAGAATCTCAGTGTCCTAATGTCTGTGGAGGGATCAGATATAGCAAACAAGTAATCATCGTCTAAGAATACCAATCTATACTAGCCTACTGTTAATTAAAGTAAAGTAGCTTTGTCCTAATTTTTCATTGTTTAGTTGAACAGTAATTAATGTGACCTAGGGCTAGTAAAAAAATGAATATGGTTTTAGCAAAAGCTGGACATTGTGAGATGTCCGTTGGACTGACATTACCTCCAGTTTTGAGAAGGCTGCACTGACGAGTCACTTTCTAGTTTATGTTTGCATGGCATGCGGTGTGGTGAGTTGTTGTAGAGTGCACGGAGTGGTTTGAGTATTCTCCTATTAATCAAGTGAAATGGGTTTCTTCGTGAAGCAAATAGAACCAGCGCTTGGTGAACTAATATTTCATGGTAAATGTGTGTGTATATGTGTGTGTTTAGGGGGAAGGAATATTTTTTAAATGTGAGGGGGACACATCCCCTTCACTAATAGTTAACTATGATTGAAGGTATATTCTGGCCATTTTTGAAGTGATGATCTGTCCAATAGTTATCAGTAGTTGGTACCTTAGTGCTGTTTCACAAACACTTCAAGCTGGAACTGAAGCCCACTTTACACAATGCAGATTTTTAGTGAAGTTGTAGCATTTCTGGAATGTTTCTGACGTTCACATACAAACACCAGCTGTCGTTTTCTCTGACGCAGAATTCTTTGAAATCATGCGCTATGGATGGCTGCGGTCAAAAGTTTATCTGCGCTTCATTTCATCTTTTATCCAAAAGACCTCTTCAGTCTAAGGAGAGGCAACAAACTCAGTCCTATGAGCAGCACCTTCTCATATTGGATCAGCTAGTTTGCTGGTGACAGACAAAACTAGTTGTTTACATGCAAAAGGAGGTCCATCAGCCGGATCGATCGTTAATGCCCTGATGGCTGTTTGCTATTTATAGAGGGCTGAGTGAAACTTGCAATCACAGCATTATAAGAGGGGGACAGTTGAACACAGAGGCCTCCACCCCTGTTTAACGATGGACAGGTTCTCTTCACAAAGATGGGTTCCCTTACTCCTCTCTCGAATCAATGTTCCTCTCTATGAAGAATGTTTCAGCAAAGAAGAACCTGTCCAGAGGACCTGATTCAACCTTGTTATCAACACTGAAGTGTCTGCACCAGTGCATGTGTTGTTAAAATGTTAAAATCGCAGCGCCAGCTACTGACCTGGCATGGAACCGACAGCTGATTCAAAGAGCACATCATTACAATATAATTTTTTTTTTTTTCCTCAATCAACATTGGAAAAATGCTAACATTTCCAGAGATTGTTTACACGTAAACAGGTCATAAGACGTCTTCTGGCTGCCTCAGTGTGATTTTTGAATGGACCAAGGAAACGAGGGGGATCAAAGCCAACCCACCACCCCAATGCACCTTTGTATCGCAAAGGGAGGTAGTGGCAGAGCCGAAACCGTCATCATATGAAAAGGTAATTTGGCTTTGTGGCTCAATGAGATGAAGGTTCGACCACTAATTTACAAGATTAAACAACAAACACATAAATTATCATTGAGGGCACGCATAGCAACATTTCACTGAGTTCAAAAGTTGACCACAGAATGTATCACTATACTGAGTTAAATTGTCATGTTTTGAAATCAATTAGGCAGACATTCATCACACATTTATTGAGTGGCGCTCCACGTCAACCCAGCTGAGTCCTGTTCCATACCTGTTTTGTTTACACAATGCTCACTTCATTTCTGAAAGCTCACATCTGTGATCTGAACCATATATAATAATAATAACAACAATAATGTGTTGTATATTGTCATCATTGTATGTTCCCATACAATGGCGAAATTGGCTCTCTGCATTTAACCCATCCACCACCAGGTGGTGCAGTGAGCAGCTATTGAAGGCTCCAGGGAGCATTTGGGGATGGGATGTGCTGCTCAGAAACACCACACGATGTGCAGTAACTGGGAATCGAACCTGGGACTTTCGGGTCCTGAGTTGGCTGCCCTGCCTCTGCCCTATCTCGACCCCCAATATAGAATAGAATAGAATAGAATAGAATAGAATAGAATAGAATAGAATAGAATAGAATAGAATAGAATAGAAACAGCCTTTATTGTCCCACGGATGGGAAATTCAAGTGTAACAGCAGCAACAGATAAAAAGATTTCACACAAAAGTTCCTAAATGTTAATAAACAATACAATGTCTAAAGAAATAAGATAAACAATATCAATAATAATGTTCAATATGTATTGGAACATTGATAAGGACAGAGTATTCATCACTTAATCACATTATTGAGCCACAAAGTCAAATTACATTTTCACATGCTGACAATTTCTCCTCTGCTACTACTGTACCTCCCTTTGTGGTACAAAGGCACATTGGGAGTGCGATGCTTGACCGCTTCATCAGTGATTTATGAACAGCCAGAGACTGCGTACAGATGGACTGATCTTTACTCCTAGTTTGTGGAAGAGCCCATAAAGCTTGAGGTATAGAGAAAGAGGCAAAAAAATCTTTGTTTAGGCTAAGCTAAAAGCTAGTTAAACGAGAGCCCGTTTATTTTGTTTTTCAGGCTTATAAAACAAATGTTTTTTTAAATTGACAAACTGTAGTGGAAAACATTAGGTAATATTTAAACGCAACATTTTTGCATGACATCAAATGTTTAATTTGTCACCTTTTTTTTTATTTTTATCGAACAAGGTTCATGTTACTGTGCAAATATTTGCTGAGCATAGACCCACTGGAAAAGACTGTTTTTAGGATGCTGGTGCTGCAAATGTATCAGTCCCTAACAGACCGGTAAGAGCTGGTTCAGTGTTCCAAGGCCGATACAGAACCTGCATTGTTCCTTCTAACTGAGGTTTGACCATCGATCAATCTCTCTTACCCAGCACCTCTATAAGAAAACTTACTGGAGAGGCTGATGAGTAATGTTCCCCGTAATTGGAACACTCTCCAGTCCCTCTTTTTGAAGAGGGGAACCACCATCCTAGTCTGTTAATTGGATGGCACTGCCGCTGGTGTCCACACCATGTCGCAAAGATGTGTTAACCAAGACAGCCCAACAACACCACAGCCTTGAGAAAGTCAGGGTCAGTCTCGTCCACCCTTGGAGCCATGCCAATACAGAGCTTTTAACTACCTCTGCAGCCTCAGCCCTGATTATGGACGGGCAAACCTCCAAGTTCTCTGATTCAGCTTCTTCCATGGAAGATGTGCTGGTGGTATTGAAAAGCTACTTGTATACATATATAGTTACTTTTGGAAGTATTTCCACTGCCCAACAACATCACTGATTGATGTCAACAGCACTCCACTTCCACTATGCACAGTGTAGGTTAAGTACTGTTTTCCTCGCCTCAGCCG